GATCGCTCGGGCCGTGATAAGTGCCTTGGCCGTTTGGAGGGTGCAGCGAACGACGGGACATTTACGAGCTGATGGCGCCGAATTATCGTTGGTCGGCCGTGTAAATCTCCCGTCGCTCGCACTTTGGAGCGATGGATCGCTTGAGCGATCGCTCGGGCCGTGATAAGTGCCTTGGCCGTTGTGGCAGGGAGCTGCGAGCGACGGGACATTTACGAGCTGATGGCGCCGAATTATCGTTGGTCGGCCGTGTAAATCTCCCGTCGCTCGCAGCATCGCTCAAGCGATCCGTCGCTCCTGCAATTGGTGCAACAATCGCTCCAATCGCAAAGTCTGACATCGGCCAATGTGAATCGCGCGAATCGCGGGATGGTGGCGTGATTCACATTTGACCGAATCGCTCCAATCGCAGAGTCTGACATCAGCCAATGGGAACACGATGCTTTCCCATTAAAGCAACAGTCCCAACAGGGTTTTTACCTTCGATACAATGTGCGGAAATGATACTAGCCCTATTCAGGAAGTCATATTAGATACTGAATATAAGGTACTCATGTATAGATAATTAACATTCAGAGCCTAAACTCTGATTGTACAATTAGTTGGGGATACCAAACCGGGATTGCGTGCAACATCGGATACCTTAACCATTTATTCGAGCATGGTGATCGCAAAGAGACTGGGTAGCCCTTATACTGGACGGCTGGAGCAAGAAAACGCTCGAAGCATGAAAACCCCTCTACTAAGATAGCACCGAAAATTACCGTGCTTTCCTTCATAGTTTAAGTCTCAATAGGATTTTTTTGGATACACTTGCATGAAATGCTTGCGATGCGAAACTCGCATAGTCTATGCCATTTCCAATTTTGTTCACTTTTGTAGTTTCAGTGCGCCTAATTCTCCCGAAACCATGGCACTCGGGTCGCTCAAGCGCCCGCTTGAGCTCACGGAGTCGAGTGATCTTGCTTCACCTGCAAAAATCAATAAATCAGTGGGTTTCTTGGACACTTTTTTAATTCTCTTCTGCAAGAAGCTGGCGCTTTGTTACAGCTAGTCTGTAGGGCACTATTCAACCCCAGTAGGGGTGAGATGGGTCGGGAA